TAAGAAACTCTGAGTGGTACAGGAATGACGAAAGAGTATAAATTACCAATGGCCTCAGACAGCTGAGCTTTTCAAAATTAAATCTAATTATTTTACCATTTATTTAGACAGATTATGTTACAGCTTTCTGCCCTCACATTGTGAGTGACAGCATGTATATATTTAGAGTAGAAACAAAGACAAATTCCAACTTGTTTTAGAAAGACACTTTAAATTAGGCTATGTGTAATGGAGAGCATGACAGCTTGTTCTACTTGCATCTTTTAATTAAAATGCAGTGGTCTATATAACAGAAAATTGAGATGGGGCAGATATGGACAACAAGGGAAACAAATCCTAGAAAAAATGTAATTGTATTACAGCATTTGAAGACTCCTACTTAAAGCTGAAGAAACCCAGAAGTAAGTTATTTTTGCTTGTTTTCTCAAATCTTAGGAAAAACTTGAACTAGCATGTTCATTACTTTTTTCAGGTTATCTGACATTAATTTCTAGTCTTGGCTCTTGCTTTCTCCTTAGCTTTTAAAACCAATGAATGCAAAACATAGGTCTCACTTGCTTGAAAAAGACAATTTGAAGTGCAGTTTTGGCCAGAGCTCTGGCCTTGGACACTTTGACAATCAACATTTCTGAGCATGATGCTGGCTGGGAGAGCACAATGAGCAACCCAAGGAGTACCACTGCCAGCAGGGGTGAACATCTAGGTGGAAACCACCATGCCTTGTCCCTCTGAATGGACTGCATCGACTCCTGTGATCCAACACCCCTCAGAAATCTCCAGGCTCTTCATGACAAGGGAGAAACAGCCAGCTGCCCTGAGGCTGTTTGTTTTGGCAGACAGGAGACAATGTCAGTGCACAAATACCTCTTCTCCAAAAGCCAGCAGCTTTCCCTGGGGAGGGGAAGCACCATTAGGTGGCCATCCCACCTTGGAAAGGAAACCCTTCTCTGAAATAAGGCTGCCACTACCATCTGCAGGCTTCTTGACAAGAGCAGCATCATGGGTACAGATGGTAATGCTGGTGGTTTATGGTTTTGGAGGAGGAAGAATGAACAGGTTGAGTAACCTCCTTAACCTGCTTTTGGCTTGTAATGAGTTACTGCATGAAAGACTTTCTGGGTCAGGACAGATAGAGCACACAGACACTACCACTGCAGGGCCACAAGGGAAAGCTTTTACCTGGTATTTGCTTAAGATCCTTTCACTGAATGGAGACTACATTAGATGACCCCCTGTTAACCTCAGCTTTGAAGTTAACTCCGCTACACTTTCCCTCATACATCTCATACAACATGAAAAGACCCTCAGTGTCACAAATGTAAAGCACTGAATGGAAGAGAGATTGAAAGATAGAGCAGCAGACAGTGAAAATGCTCAGCATTAAATATGGAGTAAGAAAGAGGGGCTTCTGAAACAAAGGACAGCAAGGGCATAATGGATTAACCAAACTTGCCTCAGAAGTGTCTCAATCTGTGAGTACATGCCACTTTGGCTGCTAGGTCATTAGTGGGATGAACACATAATTGATAAGCTGCAGGTTGTGCTCTACAGGAGAGCAATAAGCTCCTTTAAATTACATTAATATTTAACATACATAAAAAGCATTTGTCATTTGCAAAGCACTTTATAGAGTAACTGATGGATTCTATAATGATCCTCAACTCCCAGACTAGGGAGTGCAAGTCTGGAGAGATAAATACCTGGCCTACATCCAAATCAAGATTCACTGACAGAGCTATTATTCTAGCTCAAAATTAGGTTTCTAAGTTTCAGGTCCTTCCAGATTACATTGTTTTGTAGCCTTCAGTAGGTAGAAGCATGGATACACATGGAGCAGAAAGAAAGGAACTGACAACACAGGATGACATTTCTGACTCACATCTAAAAATTGTCACATCCCTACCTTGGGTCACTGTTCACTCTGAAAGATGCAGATATGTGGGTTGAACACAAGGAATGGGAGTATTGAATACCTGATTGCCATGTTATCTGTCCCTCTCCCTTTTCTTTTAAAGAATTAGTCTTGGGGAATTTACTGACCTCCATAATTTGTTAGGCACCTTAGTATACTTTATATTATATATATATATATATATATATATATATATGAAAGAAGAACTGAGATTAGCTCACTTGCTTACAGCATGGTGATAATAACACCAAGGGGATGGGTTCTATCCCTATAATGGCCTAATGGCCATTCATTTAAGAGGTGGAATTAATGATCCTTTTGGGTTCTGTGATTCTGTAAAAACTTCATAGCTTTGTGTGCTGCTGACAGAGAATATATATATATGTATATATATATGTGTGTATATATATATATATGTATATATGTATGCATATATATGTATGTATGTATATATGTATGCATAAATGTATATTTGCTTGTGCATATATACATTTCCCTTCCATTTAAATTGATATAGTGAGTTCACATGAAGGTGATCCTTAAAATATGATAGCATTTTTCTGAAATAACATAGATGGTTTCTTACACTGCAGCATTGAGTTTCTGTGTAACCAAAATCCTGACCCAAAAGTTCTGCAGAACTTCACCTTCAGCCTCCTACACAATTTCCTGGCATGTCTCCTGAGACAGACCCTCAGTTTCCCTGCCCTACTAACTCCCTTTGTGAATACTTTTTTACTCCTCTGGAGAAAAAAACACAGTGAAAGTCACATAATTTTTCTTGGCTGGACTCAGCATCCTTTTGCTGTAGCTGAACTTTATGCATGTAGGAAGTGAACGTTCTTTGGATCTACCAAAAATTCCCACGGGCTAGAGTAGGCTGTGCCACAGAAGCACCTGCATTTGTATAATCAGTACATACAACATACTGATAAAACTACCTAGGAAGGATGCGAAGTCTGAATCACACTGTTTAAGCTATGTTAGGTGTATCACCACTCCAGCTGCACTCGTTCCCTGAAGTATTTGTTCCTCCTAACTAACTTTGTTTCTATGTGCCCCATAGTCTACTCACCATTATAGCCTTACAGTCATTTGAAAAGTCATCCTTTTAGGAGCTCTATTCTCATCAATATTACATTCTGCCTGGGAAGCCTGATCATCTTAGAAGTAGGTAAAATTATTACTGATGACAGTCAATACAACTTGAAAATATTTCAACAATATAAGTAGGAAAAAATTATACAAAACTTATACTGGACATTATTCAAGAGCAATTCAGGACTTGCAAAGCAGAGAAATCTGAAAACCAGTAAAATATGATGGCTACCATATGCCAACATTTTTATGCTTCAAGAGAACTCAAGTTTAGTGAAAGAATGAAACTTCCTATAAAAAGCATTATTAACAGCATTTTTTTTGCATAAGTGGAAATCTAACGTAACAAATCTCCCTTTCTGTTCCATCTTAGATTCTGAAAAAGTTCAGCCTGCTAGACAAGATTTCCATAGAAATCTTATTTGTTAAGATTTGCTTGATTGTATTCCAAAAAGTGACTCATATTTTACAAGCAAGTGGCAAAAGCTGAAATGAGTTGACTCTTTCCATCAAAGTCAGTATGAGTCATTCCTCCATTTAATGGCTCCCCCACTATCCCTGCGTGACAAAACTGAGACAGCAGGTCAAGAAATGACCACTTGATAGTCACAAAGGATGTGACTTGCCCTAGATATCTAGTCCTAGGCTGAAGGAAACAACACAGGACTTGGCCAGTGAAATTAAAAGATACTCAGCCACATGGACAGCTAATTTGCTGTAAGAGTAGTAAAATACCAGCTTCTGTTTGCAGCTCACTCCTAGCATCACAACATTTGACCCAAACGTTAATGCCAGGGTTAACTAAAAACCAATAAGGTTTTTCCTCACCTGCCATTCTCCAATGCACCTAAAATGAGAGCAGCTGAAGGACAATAGGGCTGAGTGTAACATGATTGTAAAGATGCCATGATTTGGCTACCAGTCACATACTCTTTTTCTCTACCCTTTCTCCTTCTCCATGTTCCTGGGGATTTCCCTTTCAAGCCTGAAGACTATTTCATCTCTGCCTTCATACTCTCCTGTTCTCCCCAGTGGTTTTCCTCATGGAATTCCAGTTACCCAAAGGACTGTTGGCTTAGCCAGGTCCTCCAAGACTCATCCTTCCTCTGCAGGCACTGCTTGATCAGGCTCAGCCTTGTCTTGTGTGCATGACCTTCTGACCTAAAACAGGACAGGCTGGTCCACTGCCCAAAAGTCACCTTGGTGACAATGATGGAATAGAGAAAGGGTCCACCCTGAGATGCTGAATTTTCCATGCTTACTCTGAGGTGCTAAATGTGCTCAATTTTTGCTTTTCTGTGGCCTTCTGGAGTTGAAGGCACTGTCTTAGCCTAGGTCTGCCCATAGGTACAGACTGGCTTTAAGTGACAGTGAAGACCATCTCTCCCAAAAGTAGGTTCCTATCAGAGTCCCAGCAGGAAAAGAAAGCTTCCTTACAGAAAAATCACAACATCCTTTTGCCAGAACATTCAAACATAGTTATGATTCACAGACATCATGGAATAGCACACAAAACTCTCCATTCTCACTGCTATTTGTGCTTGACATTTTCCCCGCTTGCCCAGGGTGTCTCTCATGCCCACAGTAATCTCAATCTCAATAGTCAGATTTTCTGTATGGACAATGACTCAACGCAAGACTCAACTCAGTAAAGTACCAAGGAAAAGAAAAGCCCAGTGAGATCAAAATCCTTATTTCTTATGGGCTTTGTAGCCCATACTTTGCTTTCTGCATTCTTCTGTGGCAAGTGCCAACAGAAGATTAATCCACAGTCTCTGGCTGTTTCAGGGAGCACTCAGAATCCCTCACCTAGCTCAAATCTTTGCACCATCTTCAACAACCTCTAGAGAAAACAATGAAAGTATCTCTGTGTTTGACACTGGTGAAATATCACACCATTCATCCTTTTTCTTAAATTAGAAATACAATTTTCACCATTTATCTCCTGACAGGATGAAAAGAAAAAAAAAGATGACAAAAAGCCATTTACCTCTACTTCACATGCATATTCCGATCCATCCAGGAGTGTCACTTTGCATTGCATATTTTTCGGTTTCTTGACGATCTTTAGAGGAGACTTGGAAAGTTTGCTAGATGAAGATTTTTGAGAAAGCTTGTCGTCCTCTAGCTGCTGGTATTCCAGCTGTTTTGCACTCGCAGCAGCAAACTCCTGTTCTTTCTCTGTGGCCTATAAGGAGAAAATAAAGATACTTTTTGAAATAAGGTAAACCAATCATGCCCTGCAATTCACTTTACATGCTGCACCCAAGCATTTAAGTGAGCCTTTTTTGGGGCTTGGACAAGAAAGCCCCTGATGCAGGACAGAGTCCTTACTGAAAAGACTTCTCATATTCCTTCCAACCCTACATTCTCCCTCCAAAATGCACAGAATACCCATGAAGGAGGGGCATTCATGAAAATATTTTAAGGCTTCTACTTTTTCCACAGGTACAGAATCCCACTTCCTCTTCCTGTACTTGTTTTTTTTTTTTTTTTTTTGGCAATTTGGAAATACTGAGTAATCAGTAAATTTTGTTGATGAACAGATACTCCTACACCTTCTTGATATTACTTTGAAGTCCTGTAGCTGTTAAATAATATGATGTTTCCGTGGTGTCATACAGAATAGAAAAACACCATCAAGTTTGCACTAATTTTTCTGTCAATGGGAAAACAGTCCCTGAATGAGGACATGGATCCCTCCTGAACAGTGCAAATTCATAAGGGGATGCTGATGTCCCTGGGAAAGTTAAAGGCTCCCCAATGATGAGAGGCTGAATTTTGGTCTCTGCTAATGCCCAGTAAGTCTCTCAAGCTGGAGAGAAGTAGGTGCTATTTGGAAGACAAAGATAAGGCAGGGAAGAGGGGCTAGAAGTAAATGACTATGGTTGCTTTTGCTTGGGTTTATCTGAGGGTCAGGCCATTTAAATTTACTGTGATGCAGCAGAGCCCACAGTCCTCTCCACAGCACTAGATGAAAGCCAGACAGCTCTACAGCATTTCACCCTTCCTAGCAACAGCTCTGTGCTGCAGTCATTACCCTTCTCATCAGTTATATCCTTGATAGACTCCAAACAAAACCTCAACAGGAGTGCAGTAATACCTCAGCTAGAGCATAAGTTAAATAAAAACATCTTTCTGTTATCTCACTACAAGGCAAAAAAACCCAGCCTACTCTGGCTCTGAATTCTTTCAATGTAACAAACAACAAGCATTAATGGAAATATATTGTATATTAATCCTGTAAGTCTGTTTTCATTCATTATATATAATAAACCTTCAGAAGAATGGAGCAAATCCATCCAAAGGCTTTAAGCTGCTTTGAGACCAGAACAATGTTGCATCATATAACCTGAAACAATACTGTACTTCTAAATCATGGGGTACTGTCCCCGAATGATTTAATAAAAACAAGCTTTAAGTTTCTCCTCTGCCTTCTGACAATGGGGTAAAGGACAATTTGGAGCTGGTTGTGATCCCTACATTGTTAGCTCTCACCAAAGCCCAGCAAATTACAAAGAGGTATGGCAGGACCTCACAGTCTTCCTTTCCCTGAAAGGAGGACACAGCAATGGCCTTCCTGGGCATTCTTGGATGGGGAAACTGGAAAAGAGTGGGGCTTAAAAGATAAAAAGGCAAGAAGAGCTGCTTTCAAAATCTATTGCATCTCCTGGGCCATGAATGTTCTTCCTCAGGAACAGCCTAGCACCAGCCATCTCTTCCCCCATCTACCTCCAGCACAAAAGAAATTCCTCCTCCAGCAGTTGGACACGAGCTCTGTGCCCGGATATCATAGCTTGAAAACTGGTGGGAGATGAAGGCTCAGTATATGTAAGTGGATCAGCTGTTTGCTGAGCATTTAACAATCACAGCAGCTGTGATGAAGAGGGAGAGACTTCCTGGGCTTACAGCAAGGCTTGAGGCCAGCTAGCCTTTTACCACATCTGCAGCCAGCTGGCAAGCAGTCCAGCCTTGTGCAGTGAGAAATAAACAACACTGAAGATGTCTCCTGTTTGGACCTCTGTGCATAACTGCACTGCTGCTGGTGGACAGAGGGGCTGTAATGATTTATGTATGTTTTGTCAAAAGAAATCTGCCAGGAAAGGTGCACATGCATATATGTGGGTAAAAAAAATAATTCCAGTGATGGGGAAAAAATACACTGTCTTACCCAGTGGCTCATTACATTTCTCATGTGAGAGTTAGCACTGTGCTCCAACAAAAATATCCCAGCATGGAACTAATCTCTTTCAAGAAAACTGAAAAACTGTTTGAGAAAAACTTCCACAACAACGACACCCCTCATCCATTTAAACTTCAAAACCATACTCAGCCTGTAAGCAATTTATGTGATTCGCAATGGATTGATCATTATTTTCCTTCATAAAGACAGTCAGTATATCAAGACTACTGCAGAGTTTTGCTTATTTATAAATCTTAAAAATATTACTGAGTTATTTTGTTTGTTAAGGTTCCCTTCTACATTAAGATCAGGGAAATGTGTCTAGGTTAAAATCATACAAAAGGTTTTCCTCTCATTTTTCTGGAGAACAAAACATGCCAAGAACTATTAGAGAAGATTCCCCCAAACTATGCTGACATGTTCAGGCATTGAGGTACTTTCAGACTGTATTAAGTCTCTTCTTCCTAAAGAAACCTGACATCCTGGAATCTAGGAAAAAAAAAATGGCCAGTGAAAGACCCATGTACACAGTGAATTATTTTTTACCCTGCAAGCATAGCTTCATTTTTTCCTAAATTTTTGTCCAAGGTATTTCTGCACTGGTTTTTTGTAGTTTCTGTACTCTGTTTTTGCAGTATTTTTTAAGCACTATGGACTAAATACTAATGCAGCACAAGTTGCTTCAGGGTTTACATTTTGGAGCATAATCTCTCTCATGTATGACATGGTATGTTCAAGCCCTTCTAAAACTAGATCTTTTCTCAAAGGATGCCTCTGGAGTCATGGGAATCAGCAATAAAGATCTTGGATGCTTTGCAGCTTCTCACTGGGGTATGAAGTGATGTTGCCACACTTGCAAAACACATTAATCCCATCTACTTATGGTACACTCAGAAACTTTGGTGCCCAACCTTGTGTGATGCCACTTTCTCTTTTTCAAAGAGACAGGAAGGCAGGCAGAAAGTGAAATTGCATTATTACAACTGATAGGAAGGACTCATTTCTCTAATACCTGTTAATCTCAATATGAAAAGGTTATTAACCTACATTAAAATGTTGGGAGGTTTTATGTGCACAGGAAGACAAAGAAAAGTTACTTCATGGACTGGTAACTTAAATCTTCCTTCTCAAGGTTCTCTTATACATGTAAGAGCAAAAATCCACTCCCTCACTGCAAATATGGACAGCAAGAGGGAGAATAAGATCTTTCAGTTTCTGGCTTTTTAATGACACTATTGCAAACAGCTTTGTCTCTTAGTGCTGCATTTAAACATTTCTTTCCTGAGATACAGACACTTAAGGCACTATGAAAGACACTGAGCCTATCAGTGCAGTTGGATTTGGCAGTCTGCTTACAGCATGGACATTTGGATTCAGTCTGGTGATCTCAGCAGGAAGGTGTCACATATCCCCTTCATTAACCCAGTTCTTCTATCTTGCCTTTTACAGAAACCAGTTAATTGGTGATCTTTGGGAAAGAAAGGGATCATGCAGCACATGAAACACCACACACTTCTAAACACACATGGACAGGCTTGGTGCCTAAATTAGTTTAGTTTTTTTTGTGTGTGTGGTTATTTTGGAGTTGGGCTTATTTTGTTGTTTGGGGTTTTTTGTTGCTGCTGTTTATTTGTTTTACATTTTTAATGTGAAAAGAAACTTGAAGTGGAAGGATTATTGAAGATGTCTGGAAAAACATCTATATAGAGAATAATACTTATGCCTAAGACTGACAGAATTACACTTTTAATCAATGACCAATTTATTCAACACCTATCTCTCTTGGAGAAGCTTTGCTTCTTTTCCCTAAACTAATTCCAGGAAACTTCTGATCTATTTGACAGATCAAAATTGCTTCACCAGAACTGTCTACCACAACCACTTCAACCAGCCAGAATTTTTAAAAGGAAAGAGAAGAGGAGGAGCTAGACTGGCTTATTCCACTCTCCAAAGGTAAATGTAATCAGATGAGGGTCATAACCTTACAAAGCTAAAGGAAGAGATTTTCAGGTACCCCATTAATTGTGTGTCACTTACCCATGAAGAAAAATGCCTGTTAATCCTATTGTCTGGAAATTATTAACGGAAAGAAGAAAGCAGCTTCTGGAAATTTAATAAGTGCAACAATGAACTAAATGGAAAAGCACGCACTAGCTCTTCTGAAACCTATTACATGAATAGCTCAAGTAATTATAATGCAGTCATTTCAGACCCACGAGAAACTTAAGGGACCACAGATTCTTCATGGCTCACACATCAGACAAGCAAGCATGAAATCAGTGTTCAGCAGGTGTCAAAAGAAATGAACTCTGAAAACATTTTCAGCTTCATAAAAACTGACACTGTTTGCTATCTAATGCAAAGGCAAGGTTGAAGATGTTTCCTACTTAGTTAATGAGACCGCCCTCCTGTTTAAGCACTGGGGGCAGAAATACCCGCCATGAATTTAAAAACATTCTGCATGAGAACTATTTTCCTTTAAACACGAAAGACGAACCAGCCCAGATCTACAGCATCCCGTCAAACACCCTTCCACGCGTATCTGAATATATCTTTGCGCTGCACACCTGCCAGGCTGGCTATTTCCTGGCAGCAGTAGGTGGGTGCTCAGCCAGTTGCGTGCAGCGGGCGCGTGTCCGTGGGCTGCCTTACCTGCTCCTTTCTCACGGGCGTGCTGTGCGCTGCCACGGCCGAGAACTGCTCGAGCGCGGTCTGGTGCTCCTCACCGGGCTGCTGCGGCTGCTGCTCCTGCGGCTGGCTCTCCGCCGTCCCTTCCTGCGCAGGGCTCTCCTCCTGATCCTGCTCTTTATCCTTGGACTCGGAGTCTGATCCCGATTCGGTAGTCATGGTTGGTTATTCTGCAACACACGGTGAGCAGACCTACTGAGCACAGTCTCATGGCTGTGAATTTGTAAGATAGGCATATAAAAAGAAAGATCTGATAGTTTTAGTCTCAATATCCTCAAAACTTAAGTGCCTATCACACTGGCCCAATCAGGATCCCTAGATAAGCTTCCCTGGTGCAAAAAGACCAGGTCTAAATGCATCCATACTGTAGGGGAAAAAATATTGCAAAAATCTGATTCTACACAGTAATACACAGACGCTATAGGACTTACGTGCAAGTTAAATACAGAATACACAGTTCATAATTCATAGAGGGAACGTAACACATTGGGCCTTAAATTTAACAAAAGCCAGTGGAGTTTGGGTTTCTAAACCATGTGGAAACTTGAAAAATTAAATCTTTTGTCCTTCACATTGAAATCAACAGAACTTGAGCTCCTCAACATCTGCACTCCCTTTTGGAAATGTACTCAAGTACTTTTGATGCTTCCAAGCAATATATTAATAGTTGAACTAGATGATCTTATAGGTCTTTTCCAACCTAAACAATTTTATAATTCTATACATGCTAGAAACATCTGAAATGTTTCTGTATGCCCTGTGCATATATACAGTGCAAACATACATTTGCCCTTAAACCTAGTTCTGTCCTTCCCACTTGAATTAATCTACATTTCTGTCATTTCTTTCTAAGTGCTACAGCATTTAAAAGAAAACATAAAGACTTCCATTAAGTCATTCTAAGTGTTAGATTTCAAATAAAGGGAATACAACTTCCATTGAATGTGAAAAGTCTATTTTCTATTTAATTTTGTCCAGTACTAAATAAAAATGAAAATATTAGAAATATTAATTCAAAATTCTAGCTACTTTAATTAAATAGTTTTGGTGCAAATATGTGGTTGGCACCCAATTCTTAAACAAAATACACGCATAACCAAGCTTTTAAAAAAATACTGTGATTTTTTTATCAAAACAAGGATTTGAAAAAGCAGACTGTGTCAGTTCAGCAAAGGCAGTGTTCTTTGATGTTTGTTATTCATATGTTCTCAGACCTCACAAACTTATTCTTGAATAGCTTGCTACTAAGCAACTTGAAGGCAAACCAGTCTGCTGTAATCTATTTCTGTTAGTCATTGGGATGTGATTTCTTTAACCTGGTAACCATGGCTACTGTGGAATTATAGGTGATTCCACAAAACATGCATCTGCTAATTCACCGTATCAAGTCACTATGAACTCCTAGCATACACTACAATGCTTACTAGTAGAAGCAAGTTTATTGTAGAACATAAGGAAAGTACAAACCTTTCTCTTTTTCATCATTTAAATGTTTGATAAGCTAAATTGGTTGACAGGAAATGTTTTAAACGAGGCCAACTACTATTTTCAAACACACTTGTGTATTCTGCACTTTCAAGGCTAATCTCTCCAGTGAACACACGGCTCTGCAGAGCAAAGGAAGTCACAGCATTCAGCCTGTGCTCAGCTCCTGCTCTGTGTGTGAGGAGTGGGGGTGCATGTTCCCACCCCCTGCCAGCCAAAACAGCATGAGAGAGAAGCTGAGCTAGAAAGCATACATGGCAGATTTATGCTTCAGGCCACATTTTCAAGGTACTAACATGTGACACACGTGTTTAGAAACACATCGTAAATTTCTACACTCAGACTGGCACAACCGTATAAAAAAATACCTTTTGAAATGTGTTATTTAACAAATTGTCCTTAGCATCTACAAAAAGCAATAATTAACTTGGGTCTTAAAATGTGACAGTGAGAAAGGTGTTCATTTAATCAAACTCCAGCTGTCCATATCTGAGATGGTCACTTTAAATGCAGAGCAGAAAAGCAGACGTTTCAGAGAGGGATTCATCTGACCTATTTTAAATTCCTGCTTTAAGCTGTGATAAATCACATACTAGAGTGACTTCAATTTGCTGCGAAGGAAACCTAAACAAGCATCTCCAATGTAGATCACTCAAACCCATCTTCCATGTTCAATTATCCTAAGCCATTCTTTTTTGTACGCTTTAAACGTTCAATTGAACAACGATGTTAATCTCTCAGATTTTTGCTTTACGCATCTGTCAAATCAACATGGAATAAACTATTCTTCATTTGATACTCATTATATTTGCCTTGCTTTAAAAGCACCTAGGTCTCCACAAATGTCTCAAGTTTTCCCCTACCCACCCCCCACCCTGTTTTGTCCAAGTGCTTGAGGACATGAAATGCAAATTAATCAAACAATTATTTCAGTAAACTCAAACTGTGTGGTCAGTTTACTTTTCCAGAAACTATGAATTAGGAAGTTACCAAAACCTAACTTACAGCTACAAAAATCATTGCTCAAACAATAACAAAATAGCACCCATGACCAATATAAAGAGTAATGCATGAAGTAAGATACAATACTTTTTATGCCCTCTTGATATTATTTAGAACAGTGTAAATAAAAACTTGCTGTATGATATACATTTCTCTTTAGAAAGAGGTATTACTCTCTATAGGATCAGATTCCCAGCCAGTACTAACCAAAAGTCTCTCTTCTTTCAGCAGCCATCGCCATGCCACTGAAAGCTCATTTTTGCAGCCTGTGTAGCTTCTTTCCTAATAAACATTTGTATACTGTTTGTTTGTAAGCATGGAAATAGACATTTAAAATAGCCCCACAAAAAGCAACTTCATGTAGGATGAGATGTAAACAAGTTTTACTGTTCCTGCCACTTATCATTTTGAATCTCAGGGAACAAGAAACAAGGTTCTTATACTCTTCCGGGACAATTCTGCATGAAGCATAGCCTTACAATACTGAGTTATTCTCTAGAAATTACTTCTTTTCTCTCCAGTTCCATGACTTCTTGCTGGCTTTAAGAGTGCTTTATTAGAAAACTTCATGTGCTTTATCAAATCTTTCAGTGTAAGAGATTTCCTGGATACAATATTACTATCATTAGTCAGACAACAGATGGATTTAATAAACCCAGTGTTGCCCGTTTCCAAATGTCTTTATTTCCCCATGCATGCAGCACATTTAATAACAAATACTGAGAACAAAATACTGTTCTTCCCACACTGTTCTCTCACAGGTGTAAATAGAAGCAAAGCAAACACATCACAAATCCCATCGCAAATCCCATTTCTTACAAACTCCTCAGACGAGAGTACTGTTAAGATTTATTTCCTTCCATCTAGAGCAGGTGGAAAATACCTAAATTACAAGGCAGGAAAGAACATTCCTCTCTCAGTGCAAACCAGTAAGTTGTTTTGCCTTCCTCAGCAAACAGCTGCTTATCCGCATGAACTCTGACAGCATTTCATTTGTTATAAGTAGCACAACAACCCTCCTAGGAAGAGGTAATTTCATTTATTGAAAGAAATAACAGTAATCTTAAGAAATTTACCAACATAAATATTACTCTACCTTTGTTTATATGCAGCAAACCTGACAGAATAACTGGTAGTGCCTAAACATTTATCAAGTACTCAGCTGGCTAAGAATTTCTTATTCTTCTTTGATTATTTACTGTAACTGGCTATGTACCGAAGCTATGACTTCTAATGTGAATTTCAGCACAGGAAGAAAGAAAACACTCAAGTTCCTTAAACTTTTTCTGTTGCCAGCACAGCCTCTGTATCAAATTCCCCTTTCCAGAAAGCAGAAAACAAAGCAATGAAGAGAAACTGGGAACACTACCTTATTCAAATGAGGTAATACTATGCAAGCCAGATGTGCTCTTGGATAGCTACACTTTGGCTTACAACCCAGTCTTCAAAGATTCCAAAAGATTAGCTGAGTCCAGACTTAACACAGATGCTGCCTCAGATAGACCGAGGCAAAAGTACATTTGGCTGCAGAATGAAAATCAGAATGAAAATTAAGTCTTTTGATTAAAGGGAGAGGTAGAGGGGAAGGGGGGAGCCCAAAACTAGCATTTTTTAATCTACTACTAAAATTTTACATACGAAAATGTATGTACTGTCAGCAGTGTAAAATAAAACTATCAGTAAAATATTAAAATGTCCATGTTTTAGTGATGCTGACAACAGGTAAGGGAGTACAGATATTAATATACTGGCAAAGTATTAAAACACAACTTCAAAAAATCAACATGGCACTTTATCTATAATGTAGCCAAATCACAGAAAATAAATCTTTTCCTACCCTCACACTACACAAAGGCATTACATAAGGATTACAAAACCAGCAAACCACTTATGCAAAAAAACCCATACATCCTAAATCCTGACACAACACCTAGACCTTCTTTCCTTCAGCTACCAACCTATTGCAGCTTGGGAGATTCCCATTTCCATTAACAATTACTCACTATGGACTTAGAGAACATAATTTACTTTTTTCCATAAGGAGAGCCAAAACCATGCTGTCCTCTGTGTCACCTGCTCCCCTGCAGCAAGTGACAGCCACAATCTACTGTATAAATTCATACATTCAAAAACTTGACACTCTACCTCTTGTTTTCAGAGCACAGAGCTTCTGTGCTGCATCCACAGAGCAACAAAATTCACAGCTAATTGACAGCAGAGCCCACAGTTTAATTAACACTGCAGTCATTAATAAACCTTTATTTATATATAAATACATGCTAGTGAAAATATCCGCTATATTAAGCAAACAGAAGTCACATTAGACAAGAAATTGCAAATTAATTCTAAATAAATGATGGTGTAATGAGAAAACAAAGTTGAACCAAGTATAATTAAATGAACTATACATAGCCACTAATTATTTCCTGTAATGCATGGATTAATGATTTACATTTAAATGCTTCTTTGATCTGATTAATTCTTTTTGTAGAAAGTTCTTTTTTAATTACAGTAATTCTTGAAGATTGTTATAAATCTTTGCAAAGGTCCAAATTTGGAAATTATGTAACAAAATAATGATTCTATACTTCAAAAATAATTTTCTGCATAATGAGAGTCATATTTATCCAATAATGATGAGATGCTGATGAGAAGAGCATATGGAGAACAATATTGCTGCAAT